GACTCTGAAATAAAGAAATAAATCCCGTTTCGACTGTCCTTTAATTGGAAAAACTCATGTACCCCCGCGAGGGCGGAAAAAGGAGGTGTGACAAATTCGCCTCCATTCCGTAACAACCCAGATAAATAATCAAGACTCTAATACCACTGTTTTGTCGAGGAAGAGGCAAGCCCGAAAATAAAGAAGATAACGAACACCAAATTTTAATGTGGAAAACCTTTCAAATCGAAGGTAAAAACCACGGAATTACAAAGATCCAAAAAGCTCCACTATAACAATAAAAAGGTTATAAAAGTTCTCCAAATTGACTACACAACAAGTGCCAAACATTGAGCAACAATAGCAACAACAAATCAATTGAAGAAAGAGGAGAATCCACAAAAATAAAGTTGTTGTTCGAGGCTTGAAATCAGATTCTACAAGTCTCCAAATTCGATCTTCACCATTCAAATCAAACAGCAAGATGTTACGGACACTCGGTCAAAATTGCAGCTCGATCCAATGGTTAACGAATCGAAAAATGTAATTTGAAATTGGTTGGTCGGAATAAAAATCTGCAGCAAAACAAATATTTTTCTTCTCTCTTCTCTCTTGATGAAAGCTCTCTCAAAACCACTCTTATGTGCTTAAGTCTTTCAAAGACTTGTACCAATGAGCATAGAATAATTCTTCAAGGTTGTCCTATTTATAGATCATGAGTGGTGCTTTCTCTTAAAGTTAAAACCCACTCAAAATAGGAATAAACACCGAATCCAATTCCGAATAGGAATGAAAACCAAAAGAGAATAGGATTAGGCCATTGGGCCTTTGGCTGGACAACATGGGCATGTGCTCAACAGTTTTAGCATTTAAAACCTTTTTCTAAACCTGTTGGGTGTTCATTTTCCACCAAGAAATATATTCCATTTAATTCCTAATTATTCGGGCACAACAGGGACACCGATATTTAATTAACGAGACTTCCTATTATGGACTTAATTAGAAGTATCCGAATTAATACTACCATAATAAATTATGAATTATTCCACTAAAAATTCGTAACTGCACTCCGCAGTTCAATTTTGAAATTTTTCCATTATATTAAACCTTATTTAACTCCCCATGTTAAGATTCAGATTCTAATCAAATAAATTAAATGACTGACAATTTAATTCATTGATTACTTCTTTTAGACTTTCGCTTAACTATTTCATATGATGGATACAAAATCCACCTGCAGGGTTTACACATGAAAACTTATAAGCTATCATAAAGGCGTATCATCAATCTCTAGACCGAGACATGGATTCCATCAACTAACTATTATTTTGCCAATGTATATCATTATTGTCCAATTTACGAGGCATATTGACCCACAAAAAGATCTCGCCTTTTAATAAATCAAAACAATAATTAATATACACTACTAATAATAATTATATCAAAATTAAGAGTATAATTACGTTTAGTGGCTAGAGAAGTTATTTTATTAAATCAATATAAAATACTTATTTCTAGTTAGTTCGTTCAATACATACAAAATGTACTAGCATAAGAAGTCGGAATTAAACCATTTCCAAAATCAAGATGAATTATATTTAATCTTGTGCTACAATCATTCCTAATGGTTTGTTCAATTCCATCATTAGATTGTGAACATGATCTTATATTTATAAGAACTGATGATTTAATCTTCCCTGTATAATCTAAACTCTATACACTAACATTTACTATATAAGTAAATGACACAAACGAATATATAATCAATTTGAAATTTTATTAAAAATTAAATAAATAATTGTTTTATAATAAATATTATATCAAAACTAAAATGCATGATTAATAGTATATATCTCAACAACCGCGTGGTTGATTTAAAGTGGGTAAACAAGCAAAAGTTTAGAAACTCCGGGTATAACTTAATGGGGGTCCTGAAATCGGCTAAATGTGCACTTCCCCTTTAGTTAGTAGTACCTAGTTTTGGATAAGAACAGAACCACTCTACTTTGCTAGTGGGTTAAAGAGTGGAATTGTGTACTAGTCCTAAGTAGAAGGCCCGTAGTTTCAATTTATTCTAGGCCCATTTTTACTTTAATTAAGGGAATATATCTAGGAGAAATTCAAAAATAGTCAGATTTACAAGTAGTCATTCAAAAATAATCACAATTTCAAAAGGAATTGAAATTTAGCCACTTTTCATGTAAAGATAAATCTTAACAAAAATACCATTCAATATTCGGAAAAAATACTCCAGTATAATATACTGGATTTCAGCATAAGTATATTGGAGATTAGAGTACCAGTGCTCCACTCTCCAGTATATTATACTAGAACTTTTCGCGTGTTCGAGTTTCAGCATAATATGCTGGAAATTCATACACATGTGCACCGATCTCCAGTATATTATGCTGGAACTTTTCGTTTTATAACAAAATAGTGGCTATTTTTCAATGACTTTGCAAACATTGGCTATTTTTGAATGACCAGTCCGAAAATTGGCTAGCCCATGCTATTTTCACATTATATTTCGAAAATGAATTTCTATTTATGTTTTTGTTTTTAGTTGCTTTCTATTGTCTCGCATAGATTTCGCACGAGGCAGAAAACTATATACATATAGAGAGAGAGGTTGTTTTGTGGCAAGACAAATTAGATTAGGTTGTTTTGTGGCAGAACTCATATGTATGTGGCTAGTCTTTATTGAAAGCTTATGGACAATGCTACCAAAAAAAGTGGCAAAAAGTATAAACCAAATCTTGCAGTTTAGAATGCAACATAGTAATTTTCCAATGAAATTATTACTATTTAATTAATTATCACTGAGTAACCATAATTTTTTTTTTTGGCTTCTCATCCAATGTTCTTTTTTAGCTTGATTAATCTGAATTTGTGCTGGAAACCGTAAATTGATGACTTGGAACCTTTGAACTTATGGATGCTCATATCAAAGTAACATGTCTTGTTTTTCCTCCCTTTTTCTTTCACAGTACACCAGATTCTTAATCACACGTTAATATAGTCAAATCTCTCTATAACAGTCTCGTTTGTTCCAAATATTTTTGGCTATTATAGAGAACATATATTATAACATAACATGAAAATTGGTTCCAAAAAGTTTGACTTTTATAATGAAGTATTGTTATATAAGAACGCTGTTATACAGAGGTCTGACTGTACAAATATAACACACTATTGCCTTATGAATTATGATCAATCTTTATACACATCAAAAACTTAAATAAAATTACAAAAGACAAAAACAATATTGTATATATTACCTAGAGAGAGACACTATTCTGTTGCAATCGATATCTCTAACATCCTGACTTTTCAAATCAACAGTCATTTTACAACTCATTTTCATTTCAGCACTCTTCTTAATAATGTTCAAAATATTAACTCTTCCATTAATTCTTGTATATATACTCAGAGACACCTCACCGGACTTTAAGTCATTCCCTAGCCGGGGAATGCTCAAAATTTTCTCCACCATAACTTCCACCGTCACGTTTATCGGTAACGTCCGCCGTGCCTTAGCGGTGCCCGGCGGCGTTAGACCTTCTCCGACGACCACGTCATGATAAAACAAACTAGTCGTTGCTTTATTAAACTTGAATGAGGCTGCATTAGGGTTTTTCACGGACACGTCAGCAGAGACCGTTAAATTAACGTTAGGTTGGAGAGTGGAACTACTTCTGAGATAGCTTAATCCGTCAATCTTGACGGAGTTCAACCTTATAGACGGTGAATGTACACGGAAAACGGTGAAACCAAGAACCAACATGATCACAACGAGAACTAACACGCCGGCTATACAACAGCCGCAGCATTTAATACATCTTCGACGACGACGTTTCTTCTTATGTAATTCCATGTTAATATAATTATCGTCGTTATCGATGTTAATCCGATGTGAGCCTTGTGCCAAAAATCGAGCTTTATCGTTGATAGAAGTCATGGATGAAGTTGGAGATTGTGGTGGAGACATTTTTTTGAAATTATGAACGTTTTTTTGTTTAGTTTGTGGCACATTAAGAAAGTTTAGTGTAACGAGTGTTTTATACTAATATACATAAAATTATGGGAATATCTTGACATAATATTGTACTAATTACCGTGTTTGCACGAATTTGAATGTTGACTTGGCGGGGTCATTGATGTGTGTATAGATTCTCTAATTTGCTGTGTTATGTGTGGAATTTTATTATAGAATGATAATGCCAATATCTTTAACATTATTAGTGTAGCTTAATGTATAATAACATGATTGTTATTAATGCTTATCATATTTAGAGATTTATAAGTAATTATCTTATAATTTATTTTTTCTTTTTAAAATGATCTTGATAAAGAAAACAAAAAAGGGAATGGAAGAATGACTCGTGAGGAGAATGAGAATTTGACATCTAAAGCAAAATAGCATAGGGAAATGGTTGGGACGATTAATGAGATTACATAGGCAAGTTTGACCCGAAACCAAACTTGGGCCGATTAGTGAGAGCAACCATGGTCCATGGTGTATCTCAACCATTAAAAAGGGATCTTTACACAAATAGCCGGTCATATTCATTGATTTTTTTTCTAGTCATATATAAATATTATATATTGATTATATACAATTATACACATATAATACATAAAGTACGCATATATTATACCTGCATCGACTATTTATAGTTTAAGTGGTTGGATGAGCTGATATTTGGGTTAATTCTTCCATTAAAAAGGTCGTAACTGTCCTTGGGCCAATATGACAACGAGACAATCATATCATGCCACTAGCAAATGGAGCACAAGTTCTTGGTTGGGAAAATTATGCGACACATTAAATGTTTTTACTGTATTTACTATTCGTAGTTATACTTTTATTAAATTTATCACTCGTAGCTTTATTTGAATTTTATAACAAATTCATAAAATAAGAGATTAATTATTTTGAACTGAAATAAAAGAGCAATAAGCTTTCGTAACTCAATTGGTTAGAGTGCTTGCTTAGCTAGCGAAGGTCTTGAGTTTGAATCTCAACAAGAACATTATTTTCTGTATTTCTGTATTTTATCTTAATTGTATTCATTGCACGAATAAATACATTCGATACATGTTATATCCTTTGTATATACTCATGTATACGTTGCGCGTTTGAATATAAGCGCTACAAATTTGTAATATTTGAACAATAACTACGAATGGTAATTAGCCAGATTGGCAGGTGAGATGCACTTCTCTTTTAAGGGAACTGAAAGGGAAATGTATGTAAGGTTCTGTTTTATAATAAAAACACAAAAATATAACAAGCTTGATGACAATAATTTCCAACAAGTTGATAGTTTCATTTTCACACGACCATTATAATAATATAATATCGTCTGGATGTAAGTTGTTCTCACCGTAATATATTCCCTCCGGTCCAAAATAAGTGATTTTTTGGTCTTTTTTTTGTGGTCCAAAATAAGTGATTTTTCCAGATTTCAAGAATGAATTAATTATTTTTTTTCTACATTGCCTTTGAGTAAATAGTGTGGAATATGTGTTAGGAGTGTTTTATGCGAAGAGAGAGTAAATGGTAATATGGTCAATTTCATTGCTAATTAATGTTAAAAGGTGAATTTCTTAATCCATGTGAAAACAGCTAAAAAATCACTTATTTTGGACCGGAGAGTACTAGTATGATTGATCGACTTTTTAATATACCATTTAAAAATATAAACAAAACTTTTCCCGTCCAGTGTATAAAATATTATTGAGATGACTGATCAGCTTCCACTGAAAAAGATTGAAGCAAAGATATGTTAGGGAGCTTTTCTAGGGTTTGTAACCATTTAATTTATCTGCAATTTAATTAACTTAAATGCATACTAAAATTAAAATAAAAAACATTTATATTTGATTAACTAGTTTTAGCACAGTCCACTAGTGAAATTTCACTGGGTTATTATTATTGTTGTTGTTAACTAGTTTTAGCACATGTGCAAGATTAAATATGAAGTTGAGTAAAACTAATACGGAGTATATAAAAAGAATAATAATGCATAAATGGAAAAGCCTTTAGTACGCCCTCTCTATATTTTACACAAGAACTCCTGTAAAGCAAGAGTTAAAAAAGAAGAAGAAGAAGAATTAACTCAAATAGCCACACACCCAATCGCTTAAACTAGAAATAGCCGGTGGAGATATAATTTATTCATAATTTATATATTCTATGTGTATAATATGTATAATCAATGTATAAACTATGTATAAAAAGTAAACAATAAATATGACCGGCTATTTGATATATACACAAAAGAAAAAGAAAAAAAAAAGAACAAAAGATCAATTGCAGAGGAGATCTTGGATTGCTTGGCTAGTAAAATTTAAATTCATGGTACAATTCAACACTGAAGTTTTATAACGACTAACAATTTTCATAGCCTTAACTTTTCCCTTTAACTCACCAAAACTTGTCAATTTCACCATTCTTGAATTTATATCACTGCTCAAATTCCCATGACTATGATTCAATTCATTAGCTCCAACTTGTAATACAATTCCTATTCTCTTACTCTTTCTAGCTTCTACATGACCAACGTTAATTTTCGCGAAACCAACGGTAACATTATCGTAAATAAAAACACTCATGCTACTATCTTGGAAATTCATTCGACCAAAGTTTTCGTTGTCTATAATAATTTCAGCTCCCATGGTCATGTTAAATGAAGGCAAAGAAGAATTATTACTATATCGAAGATTTTTCACGTCGATGTGACCTAGATCGAAAGACGGAGCTTTGAAACGAAGAAATATCATGGAGAAAATTAGCATGACTATGCTTAATAAGACGATGGTGGATAGAAGGTAAACGAAAAACTTGCTGCTGCTTTGATTCTTGTTGTTGTGGTTGTAAAAATTGCTCGATTCACTGAGATTCAGCCCTTGATCGCTTCTGGGATATGTTGTTGGTGGTGCGAGAGGGATGATATGGCTATCTTCGGCCATTACTAGGGTTGAAAAATGCTTAAAGAAACCAAAGTTTTGAGTAATACTGTAATAGATATGAGTTTTTTGTTCTTGTTTAATGTGTTATGTACATATATATTAAGAGTAGAGAAGGAAGATATGTATGAGAAATGATGATATAAAATAAAAAGGCAGTTGAAAGGTAGTTAGTGTATGACTTGAGAAAAGGTCAAGTTGGGCGTCAAAAGCCGTCGATATTGTTTAAAGTAGGGTGTCTTTAATTATATGTATTATTATAAATAAATTTGCTACTTCCAATTGCATCAACTTGAAGCCGCCAAGAATGAATAATACCAAAATTGACGCTTTATGAGAGTCAGAGCCAGAATTTGAAGTTTATAGGTTCAGGTAGGGCGGCAATTTGAGCCCAAACACATTTGACCTGCCCAATCCACCCAAGGTTGGGCTGGTTATTGACCCGCCCATTTGTTGAACTCAGCCCATTTTAACCTATCTAAAGTTGAGCTGATTTTTAGCCCATATTGATCTACGAGCAACTTTGCTAAAATATCTTTAAAATAATATATTTTTTGTTTGATATGTTATATATGACCATAATAAAAGAAAAAAAGTTTTATTTGATAATTAAATAATAGATAAGAAAATAATACACATTAATTAAAGCTTGGTAAGACTTGGGTGAGTTGGGCTATGACCCAAATTTTAGCCAAACTTGACCAACCCATCTCAAGCCGAGTTAATTGATCTGCCCATTTATTGATTCAGACCATTTTAACCCGCCCAAAATCAGCCCAACCCACCCATTCGACACCCCTAAATTCAGGATTCTAGCTCTTTTAAGTTACTGAATTCTAAATTAAATATTTATACATATTAAATGAATTTCTTAAGACAAACACATAATTTGGACCAAAGTTACTAGGTTCTATCGAATCCGCACCTCAATCTCAAGCTCCATCCCTGCACCTCGTTGGAACATAAGAACCGTTGTTTTTGCGACAACTATTCTTTCTTGGACCCAAAACGTTAAGAAGAAAACAAAAATAATATTGTAGCTCTTCTAAATGAAATTGTCAAAACTTAAGACCAAATGATCCATGTGGTGAATAATATTGTAGCTCTTCTAATTGAAATTGTCAAAACTTAAGACAAAATGATCCATGTGGTTTCTTCACTTTTTTGGTGGACTCGTTCTTCATAAATGAGCTCATGCGATGACCATTTTTTGGAAGATTCATTTGAATGCAGTGGTGAAAAATTCACTGGGGTAAAAAGAGTTTCATGACATTGCAGTTCGAATTGTGATTTCTTAACTACTTTGTTGCCTCTTGAGGATAGTGATGGACTCAAACGAAGCAAACCATTTCTCGTAAGAAAATAGAAAATCACAAGAAAGATTTAAACAAAAGTGACTAGAAAAGATGCGGTCAAGAAGGAATAGTGAAAACTATGTTGATTGAGCTAGATGTAATGAAGGGGATTCAATGAAATCCTTGTTTTTAGAAGTTATTTTGAGTCTTTTTGTTAGAATTTTTGTTTTAGAGCAACGGAAAAGTTGTGACGTATATGTCATGAGTTTGAGCCGCGAAAGCAGCCACTAATACTTGTGTTAGGATAGATTATCTATACCATACCCCTCGGGGTGCAAGCTTTCTCAAGACCCTGCATAAATATGGAATGTTTTATGCTCCGAACTCCCAATTTTTCTTCGAATTTCTGATTCTATCGTTGTTCGGGAACATAACGTGGTGGTCTTGGGACCATGATACTTACTTGCCCTGGCCGAATCCGTTATAAACTCACACTTTGATGACATAGATTTTAACTAATATCTTTTCATAAAGAGAACCTTTTGTTGCAGTGGTTAGCCATGTTTTTCATTGGTTCAGAAAAAGAAAAACAGCAAAAAGTTAATACCTTTCTCAAATTAATCACATTATTTTGCTGTTGGGTAGCAATTACTTTGCATAAAGAACGCATAAAAAATATACAAATTTTATATATTTTTTCGGATATTATTTTTACAGCGACTATAGTCTATACAATGTCATCTTTTCAATTTTATATCTTTTTTTTTTATAAAAAAATTGAGTATCTTAACGTTAAAAAGTAAAAATTTTAATACAAAAAGGAAAAGAATATTTGTTACTCACGTTGATTGTTGAGATTTGAATAATCTAAAGGGTATATAAGTATTTTTGATTTTTTATTTAGTGGATAAAGTTTGATATCAATAGATAATAAGAATAAAAAAAAATTGCCTTATCCTCGATAAAACATAACAGTCTGATATGGTAGTTTAGACTTATTTTTAAATTACATAACGTTAAAAAGAAATACTACTAGTAGAAATAATACTCTGATTGGTATACTCAATAAGATAACAAGACTTGATTTTTTTGAAATACCTATATTCCTCATAAAATAGTTTTCCTATATCAATTTTGCACAGGATCAAAAATGTTTTAGGAATAACTCGTTATAAGAAAATTATTAATAACTTTACGTCTAAAACGATTTAAAAAAATAGACTTCAAACAAAAATATATAAATTTATTTTGTTAACAAATTAGGGCCTCTTATTGAAATTTTGCTTTAGGCCACCAACAATGTTGGACCGCCCCGAAAGTAGGGCTGTATTCTGGGCCGGGCTAGGGCCTTCGTGGGCCAAAGGGCCGGGCTTCATGGGCCTGGGCTCTGGCGGTCCCGGGCTTCGTGGGCTCAACGGGTGGAACCGGCCCGTGACGGGCCTAAGCC